AGGACATGATGACACTTAAAATGACAATAACTCTAGAAAATAGATTGTAGAAGGAGAGACAGAGGGAGAGGACTGTGGGAGAAGACAGCATAAATTATACTTACACACCTGAGTTTGCAAGACCTGATCAAGAGGGAAATGATGAGACTCTTTGGAGTTCCCTGATGGATAGAGTTAGGATAAGTCGGAAATGGCTTGATGGCTCCTAACAACTAACTTATACACAGGCCCACTGCCACATATGGTGACTTTTGAAATGAGAGTTGTTGTGTATACGGCTGCTTGTAATAATATTTAAGTTTGCCATTTTGAAGTGCATGCCTACAGATCTCAGAGATTTGGCCCAGAATGGCACCCCCCCAGCCCCAAAAGTCACAATGATTTCATCCTGCTTGGGGCTCTTTGGAGAAAGTGTGTCTTTTTATTTATTAATTTATTTTCAGGGTTGGTGGAGACTTGCTCTCAACAGGACTGGGGAAGTTGAGGCAAAGGACCAAAGAAGACTGAAACAAAATATGAGAGTCACAGACATGGTATCCTTCGTGATAATATAGAAGGGAGATTTCTGATGTGCAGGAAAAGGGCTACTGTCTCTTTAAGAATTAACTGGCAAAGAGAGGAAAGGACTTTGGAAAAGGAAGGGAGAAAAGCAGACCCCCCAGTTTGGTCCAGTATGGTTTCTGGGGAGGATATTGGCCGGAATCCTCTGTCAGGGGGAGGAATTGGCAGAAGGGGAAGAAGACCTACATTGAGTCCTGAGTTGGACTCCATAGCCTTACAGGACCTTCCAACATGTTTATTCTATGAGACATGCTTGATGAATTTGTGACTTACTCTCTCTGAGGTTGGCTTGGCTGCCTGAGATCGTAAGGGAGCTTTTTCCAGCCAAATGAAAGTAGGGGAGAAGGGTCCCCTTAGAGAATGAGGCTCCTGTGAAGATGGGGTCCTTTAAGGTGCCTTTTTTTAACTTTATATTTTGTTTTTCACCTATAATGCTTGCACAGACTTATCACGGCCAGCCCTTCTGCAACTAAAGCTCGGGGTCCTCTTTTCCTGCTACTGCCTTCTGCTTTCCTTCACTTTATTTCCTTAACATCATTGTCTTTTCCAGAGAGTCTTGCCTTCTCATGCTTTGCCCAAAGTACAGTCGCTTAATGTAGTCTCAAAGTAGCTTTAGTTACGTTACTGCCTAGAAAGAATCCAGGCTTGATTTGATCTGTTTTTCTGTGCCATCAAGTCAGAACCGAATCTAAATTTAGAGAGTAGAGGAGTGGAAAAGGGTGGAGGAAACATCAATAATGAAAGATACGCAGATGACGCCACATTACAGGCAGAAAACAGAGAGGAGGAACCCCTAAATTAGGTGGCTTTGAGCTTTAGCTAGGCCAAGCTCTGCAAAAGTGTCCTTTTTCCTTGCCTGGTGCTATCCGGGAGCTTTCTCTCTGAGCATGAAGCTTGGCTGGAGCTAGGCCAAGATACGCTTCAAAGCCTCCCCATTTAAGCCTTTCTCCTTGTTGCCCCACATTCAAGTGTTCGCAAGGTACTTTTAAGCTTCCTCCTCCGAAGGAAAGCTTTTTTTTTAGGATTCCCAATGCAAAGCCCTGCATCTTGAGTGTAAGCTGGGTTGTGCCCAGTCAGTTCTGAGAAAGAGAAGGGAGTTTGCCGTGGGCTTCTTAAAGGGGATACGTAGAACGCAGGATCCTATACGATTTCTCCAAGAAAGAAAAGCGGGAGACGTCTAAAGAAACCAGGATGGCTGCCTAAAGAAGCTTCCATAGGAACTGAGCTTTAAAAGAGGCATGTATAAGAAATATAGTGTTTTCCAACAACAACATACAATTGGGAGCTTATGGGTTGATGTCTCAGTAGCAATGCTACTCTGGCTCTTCTCCTCAACTACTGGTGAGGTAACAGATCTCTTTGCCATGTTGTACTTTGGAGCCAGTTTACCTGAAAAAACAACTGCTCCCAAAGATAACTCCCATATAATCAAGATTTTCAAAGGAAACCCATGCACATATGTG